CAGGAGGCGGGGAGAACTCAGGACAGGCTGCTCCAACCATGGGTATTTACATGGTCACACTGGTGAGCTGGGCACGGCATGTTATGTGGGAAACGAAAGCAAAATGAGAACGTCCCAGCACTTGACAGATTAAGAGTGAGAAGTGCATCGGGGGGCCGTGCGAAGATAAGTGGACAGAGGCCATACTGGATTCTGTGAGCTTGGGTGCAGTGTACGATGATTCCACGAAAACCAACTGATTTAGGGCCAATTCCAAGTATAGTTGTACTATGGCTAACTGTATGGGCCCAAGTTTTTTTTGTAACACTTCTTCTCAGGTCCCGTCCCCTGTGTCACAAGTCAGGTGATTTGTACTGTGGCAAATCCCACTTGGGTGGAGATAGAAGAAGGAACAGTGAGTCATCCTCCCAAGGACAGGTTCCCACTAGCCGCTGAGGAAGAGGGCGGCCAAAATAAGAACTACCACCGGAGAGGAATTTACCGAAGGGCCTTGCTCCTCGTGTCAGAAAACTCTTCTGGGAAGCCTCGTCCGTGGAAGCCACCTCAGTCTCCCTGCTCACACCTTTCTTGCTCAGGACCAAGGAACAGTAGGTGCCAGTTGACAGAGAGGAAGAAGACCCTTAGAGACAGGATGGGGTCTTGGTGGCTTCCCCCATTTGTCTCTCCCCTGTCTCACTGTAGACTAAAGATCCCCTTCTCAGAGAGCCACGACAGAAGTTACTCGTCCCTTCGCCAACCATTTGCACGTTCGCAAAGTAACTGTTCTTTAAAACTCGAGTACGGTGGGGCAAAGACTCTGGTATTTGCCGCATCGCTAATTATATCTTCAATCTTTCCCAGGAAAGACTGTATCTTCACCATTGACCCATCTACTGCCCGCGACCTCGATGATGCCCTCTCCTGCAAGCCGCTTGCCGACGGTAGGATGGAAATTTCTAGACCTTTCCGGGTAGCGGGCAGTCTGCATGCCTTTGTGGTCAGTCTGGCCGCCTCGTACTTCCCAGGCTGTGTAACGTGCAGGGTTGGGTTTGCTTTGTTCCTGAACTTGCCCCTGAGCCTACACAGCACGAGACCTAAAGATTGTGTTCCTGTGGTGACTTTGATGAGGGCGAGCATGAGAAGGGTCCTCTCGCTGGGATCCTTCTGGGCCTCAGTGGAGGCGGCAGTGAGGACAGAAGAATGACTTCCAGGCCTTGGCCCCTCAGGAGGTTCCAGTTTGGGTGTAGCGTGTTAAAGAAGAAAGCCCTTAAGCTCTGCTTAGGAGACGCATTGGGTTCTTTACCTGAGTTTGCCAACAGGTTGGGATGATGTGGGAGTATCCTCCAAAGGCGAATCGGCAGCAGGTAGCAGGAGCGCCGTCCCTGACGATGCCCTCGAGACCCGGCAGGTCATCGTCCCGGCAGATTGTGAAAGGCAGCTGGTAGGGGCTCCTTGAGCATTCTTTTGGGCCGGAGCTGAGCAGGAAGAGTGGGATTTGAGGCCAGTGCTCTTGGACAACTACAGTAGGGCGGAAGGGAAGATGTGTAGGGTAGGAGAAGAGCAAACCCTATCACGCCCGCTCCAATGTCCCCTCCCCCACCACACGCTAGTTATAGTCTTGAGTTACTCCTGGGCCCTCTCTAGGATGGTGTCTAGGTGACTGCTTTGGCTTTAGTCATTCTTGGATACGGCTTTGGCACTATCACGGGCTTTGACGGCTTGCCGATGATGGGTATCCACCCTTGTGGTTTCAGTCTGCTGCAAAGTGTTGATGGCCCAGCAGCCTAGTCTTTTAAAACGTCGCAGAGGTGTTCGTGTAGTTCATTAACGCAAAACTCCGTAGGTTCAGCGTGTGATCTCTTCTTTACTAGTGTAGGCTGTGAAGATTAGTAGAAAGAAGGCTGAGAGACAGAAAACATCATTACCTAAAAATGCTTTTATCGTCTTTTAGTGGGAGTCCTCCTTGAAACTCTAGGCAAGCTTGCTCAGTATTTTCAACTAAAAAAAAAATGGAAAGAAAGATACAACATTAAAAAGAGAAAAGTCCCCATAGAAGTTTTAGAGCAATGATATACTTTTAAAATCCAGAATGTAAGCAGCCTACTTAAAAAAAAACACATACTGGGTTGGTTTCCCATCTTCTGAGCAATATTTGCTAAGTGCAAAGGCTTGAACGTATCGCTCTCTGAGTCCACTCCCCTGAACTCCAGTGTGAAAAGTGCCCCCAGGAAGCAGGAAGCCAGGTGACAATAGACCTCACCTCTGTATTTCTCTTCTCTCCAGGTTCGCAGCCCTGCTCTGTTTGTAGCCTCATGCTTGGAAACAGTTGTTTCCTTTATTGTGTCCCCTTTATGGTCATTAATGGCACAAGGATAGGTCCAATGCCCGTTAGTGCGTCTTGGCTGGCCTGGATGGTATTCTCCTCACAGGGATACCAGGGAGCAAGCACGTGTCCTGCCCTGCTCACTCTACCTACCACCTACTACGTCTCCTGTCTAGGGCAGCTGATGAGCAGCACAGGTTTCACGTAGGGAATTGGTAGACGACAGGGCAGGAAGAGTAGACTGGGGACAAATTGTACGTGTTTATAAATTTCCAACCAGAGAATGTTCTTTGTCAGACCACCGAAAACCAGTTGTTTTCAATCTCTTGTTCAAGGAGAGCAGTCAAAATAAGGAAAATAATTCAACCGTACAAGACGAAGGAAGAGGAGAGGAAGTAGAGGCAGAGAAGCATTGTAATCACTTAGGGAAATGGGTGATAAATTGGACTGGGGGTGGTGGCAGTGTGAAGGAGGGTGGGGAGGGCAGATGTGAGAAAGGGCGAATGACAGAAGAATCAATGCAAACGGACACGGGGGTTGAGAGAGAGGAGTCCGAGAGGGAACAGAAGTTGCAACCTGGATGATGGGGAACTGGAATTTACAAGTTAGAAACCAGGACGTCAGGAGGACGAGCTGGTTAGGGAGAGGTTGTGTCTACGTGGAGTTGTCTGTCTGGTGATGCCCATTTACCTAAGCTGCTGCACATCCTTCTCCAGAGGAGGCAGGGTACAAGTAAGCCCTATAACCACATACACAGAGAGCCCTGAAGAAAAGTAGACAACACACCAAAGTGCAAACAGCAATTTTTTTAGGATAATGGGATCATAAGTGTTTTTTGGTCTTTTCTCTGGTTTCCAAGCTTTTATAATGTGGTAATAATAGTTTTATAATGAAAAAATTTTTGTAATAAAAAAAAATTATGAGGTGCCAGAAATCACAGGCTGCCCAGTAGCGCACTGCACCAGGTGATCAGATACCTTGTATCTGCTTAGTTATTCTCGCATTCCAGAGGAGTAATTAACATGTGGTCATTTGGCAGAGCAGCAGAAAAAGGACATGGAAAAGGAGTCAGAGAAGAATCTGAAAAGGCGAGGGTTGGTCAGTCAAGTGTTTTTATGGTGGCACTTCTACAGTTGGCCTTTGTGACAATGGTTTCTGCCAAAGCTATTTATCCAGGGAGATGAAAACTGAAAGTCAATTCCAGTTTGGATTGGGGTGAGGTTGGCTAAGTTCAGGTTCCGTTAGTTACCAGTTCATGTCAATTTTTGCTTAGAGGAAAAAATGTTTAATGTTTCAAGAAGCAAATAATGTTTTCTGGCCATATTTACATCATCTGTAACCATTTTTATTTAAAGAAAGTATCGAGGCCAGACTTTCCTTTGGTCCTATTGAAATCATCTGAATGACTGTTCTGTGCAAATAAAACCGGCCGACAGATGCAACTCAATTTAGTCCTCACTGTCCCATTCTGTAGAATTCCGATGTCCCCTCAGGACTTGTTACCAGTGTCTCCTATAGGTGCGAGACTTAGACCCCACAGTCTGCAGATAAATTCTGCGGAAAGGCAGTGACACCTGCTCTCCGGTATGTGAGGGTTATGCTGGCAGGCTGATGAGGGGTGCCCCCTACCCTCAAGAAATCTCTGCCCTGGAAGGGATTCTCCCGTCATCTAGCCTGCGAATTCCCCACCTCCGGGAGCCTCCAAATACATTTGAGTGGAACATTCCCCGGGCGTCACCCAGCGTACTAACTTTAATGCAGAGCAATTCACTTTTGCTCGAGAAAATACTGAATAACGCAAGTGAATGAGAGTGGCAGTGTAGTGATAACCCAGAATCTAAAGACAGCAAATCACACCCTCCCTCGTTTTATTACTGGAACAGATCACTTGCAACACACCTCACAGTTGACCTCACCACTCAAGTGCGGGAATGCCACAGTTGTCACATCACCCTCTGTTTTTCAGATTACCTCCACAGCATCCACTTATTGAATATCCAGATTGCCTTTTAACGCTCTACCTTGCCGGCAGCCCATTTGGCCTTCAGATTGCATGACTATTAGGAAACCCTTCCCTGTAATGAGCTGAAATATTGCTGTCTTCCAACAGTTTTCTTTCCTTGGGTCCCATCCGTACCTATTGGAGTCCAGAGAACAAGTCTTGTCTGTCATGTGACCATGCCCGAGGCACTAGATAGCAGCTGTCTTGTATATCTGCTTCGCAACTTCTCAGCTAAGCAACCTTTTCAGAGGACGTGGGGTACAAATATATATATATAAAAATATGCGTATATATTTATACATTATATATAAATAAATATATAATAATATATAATATATATATATTCTTCCATGTGCTGTAGCTTTTAAAGCTTGAGCCTGTTTCCCATGTCATGGAGTCACTTCTGCCTTGATGAGGTCTGAGGTACATGGCAGCCTCTATCCAGACTTCTCCATGGCCATCAGGGCACGGTGACTCTCCCAGCCAGTTGCTTCTTCCTGGGCTGACCCAAGTCCAGAGGAACAGGCACCTGTTCTCTTCAGTGAGACAAGCCTTCTCGCTTTGCTTTAGTCTCAAGAGGAAATTGTTAGGCAGGACCTTTACTCAGCTTAGCTGATTCAGGCTCCCACCAGATCCTGCGGGAAATTGATGTTCACTGCCTCTCTCACAGCTGCTTTTTCCAATGTTTTATTCTCTAATGAGCGCTCTGCCTTTAGACGTGGCAGGATCGTGCTAGGAAGGCATTAGACATGAAGGATTTGGGCTGGGGAAAGGGGGGGGAATGGGGAATGACTGCTAATGGGTGTGAGGGTTCTTTTTGGGGTGATGAAAATGTTCTGAAATTAGATGGGTGGTAGTTGCACGACTCTCAATATACCAGAAACCACTGTGGGGGGACGGGGAGGAAATGAGTGAATGGATGAATGAATAAGAACAAACAAACAAACAACCCATTCCTCCTTGAGGCTTTCTGAGGAGTTTACACCTTAACCACAACTTAGCGGAAGTCTGGAGGGAATGCCTGGGCTGGATACCCATAGTCACATCCCTCTCACCTGTCTCTCCCCTTTCTGCTTTCTTCGCTGAGCCATGAAATCCCCGCCCAAGGAGCACACCCCTCTATTCAACCAACTGCTCATGTTTCCTGTCCCCACAGAGCGCAGCCATCTGACTCAAAGAAAGCAGGATCCGATCTACTGTCCAGGTGTGAGAAAATGCTCAGATAAACAGAAGTCATCCGGCCTGAGAGGTCTCAGGAATGCAGGTTACTTACTTTGCTGTAGGGGGCGCCAGTCTTCTGGCCTGGTTTGCCTCTGTTGCCTTCCTGGTTGCATGGCTTTCCCTTCTCTGAGGAGGAAGGAGTAGGGAGCGGTGTCTCAGGGAATGGGAAGAAGAGACTAGAAGCAAAGCCTGTGAGAATTTCATAGGATTCCTAAACTCAGTAACTTCCCGTGTGGTTCTATTTGTCACCTGCTGAGAGTTTCTTGTTACAACGACTGCCTTCGGAGGCAGTGAGGAAGAAGGAGCTGGAGACACTGTACCACTGTATTCCAGGCTTAGACCAGAGAATCTGACCAATACAATGGGTGGTAGTCATTTTAGACGGCAAACTGCTG